TACCATATACAGATAAACCACCTTCTTTAAAATTTTTGAGAGAAAAGGCAACTTTGAAACTGGCCTAAAATTTGAAAGGTCGTTAGGGTCTAAGTTGTTCGTTTTAAGAAGAGGTTGAATGACGGCATGTTTAAAGGCAGCTGGAACACACTCTAAGTGAAGGGAAAAGTTAACAAAACCAGCTACCCATGGACCAACAACGGTAAAGACCTCTTTCAAAAGTCTGGATGGGATAAAGTCACCAGGACAAAATGAAGGCCATGGGTGTAGAACTAACTCAGAAATATGAGAAACAGACACAGATTCAAAACACTCTAAAACAGCAGGAGATGCATGTGAAATAACAGGATCAGGGTTGCGTACAGGTAAGAACCTGACAGAACTTGTATTTTAAAAACCTTTCACATAGTGAAGCAGAAGGAGTCAAGCAAGATGAATCATGAGGATTTAAAAGCGAGTTCAAAGAATTAAAAAGAGTTAGAGGCTTACTGATATTTTCAGACACAATATTTAAGATAAAATGAGTCTTTGCATTTTTGACAGCAACTTGATATTTGGATAAACAATCTTTTAACAACTCCAAGGAAATATGATCCCGTCTTTTTCCACCTCCTTTCTTCACGCCGGCAGCTGCATCTGAGTGCACGAGTGTGATCATTCAGCCAGGGCTCTGTAGCTAGTTTAGCGCAATTAGATTTAAAAGGAGCAATAAGATCTAAAATTACCTAATTTCCCTCTGGGATCAATAAAGTATTTTTGAATTGAATTGAAAATATTAGTACAAACAGAATTAAAACCATCCAGAAGCTGATCAATATTTTTAAACTGGTGGACATCCAAAGAAGGAAGCTCAAAATCAGTAAAAGCAGCTTTAAAATTTGAGGCTGTCTGTGCGTTGATCAGGCGACGGGAGCGCACAAAAGGTGCGCAAATCAGGCACAGGCTTCACAAACTTAAAATTCAAATAAAACAGGCAGATGATCAGAAATACTGGAATCAATAATTTCATTAACATGTCCATGTAAACCATAAATTAAAACCAAGTCCAAAGTATGTCCCTTTTCATATGTTGGACCGCTCCCTAACTGATTCAAATTAACACCATATCGTAAAAAAGCATATCGTACAAACACGACAATTATCTTATGTCTGGCAACACTGCACAGTTTTTAAAACAACGTAGAGTTGTCCCACCTCGTTCAAATCTGTGTGTGTGTGTGTGTGTGTGTAAAGGTTTTTCCTACAACGTGGGGAAATTTTTCCCAAGAAAGCAGCCTCGTGGGGACGTAAGTGCATCATGGTTTAGGTTAGTTTTAGGGTCCTGTGAGGTTAATTTCAGGGTAAATGGTCTGGGTTAGGCTATAAAGTCTTAAAATGGAATGGAAGTCAATGTAAGGTCCCCACAGGGTTGAAGAACAAACGTGTGTGTGTGTGTGTGTTCTCTCCAGCAGCACCCACGGTCATCTGAGCTGCGGAGCAGAGTGTAGAGACACTCCGAAAACCTTTGAGTAAAATAGTATTTAAGCAAAATATAGGAAAACTAGATACTGCATAGCGGTAACATAATGACCCCTGCATGCACAAATGCACCAGAACTCAGGAATCTTTGTTCGTAATAAATGTCATGCTACTAGGTGTATCCCTAAATTGTAGTGGCTGAGTGGGGTGGGAGTGGGGGGGGGTATTGGTTGACCTGATGGATAGCCCCTCACCAGGGCTAAACAACCAACAACAATCTGAAGCTCCTATGTTTAACAGTTTCTGAGTTATAAGCATTTTTGCATGTCCAGACAACCCCTCTTTGAAAGGAACCCCTCCTCAAATATGGGGTCTATCGTAAAACAGTTGGCTGTCAGAGTGTAGGTCAGACTCATCTACAGTCCTGCCAAATTTCACGTTGATCGGTGCAGCCGTTTATGTGCTATGGTTGACCAAAAATCACTGAAATAAATAAATAAATAAACAAACAAACAAACAGTAGGAAAACAATGACTCCCACTCATAATAATGTGTTCAAAATCTGCTCAGTTTCATTTTAAAAGTGTAATCCAGTAAATTAAATCATAAAATTGGGGAGAGGCTGCTATAGTGGCTTACATATGGGGCTGAGGTAGGTGAGCAATGATATAATGTTCATAACCCAGAAGACACAAAAAAATACACCTGCGGTAGAAAGTCGAAATGAAGAAATTTAAATTTGTGTGAAAAGCATAAAGTTTGTGATTTAGGCAGCTTAAAAAATCGTTAACTAAAAAACTCACTGTATGTTATACATTTTTATAATTACAATGTAACAGTTTATTGTGTTGGGACAAATTAAAGTCAAAAAGAAGTGTATTTTAAAAACAAAGACCAGCCAAAACAAAATATCATGGTATCTCTATAGCCAATGATATCACTTGACCCATCCCTAACTCAGCAGCAGCTAAATTGGAAATGGAAATTCAAGTTCGCCATAGGCTCCATTGCAGCTGGGTCCAAGGTGTGAAGATCAAGAGATTTACCACCCAGGTGTAAAACTAACACACCTGATCCTGGTGACCAAATGCTTATTATGGACCTGAAGGAGGAGGTCCTTGAATTATTGAAGGCATAAATTGTTACGCTGCTCAGATCCAAGCTGAAGACTGGTCTGGCTGAAGATTTTGAAAACATCAAATCCAAGCTACAGCCAGTAAAAAGAAAGCTAGCAATTAACACTGCTGTGATTCACTTTGTCATAGAGACAATGAAAACAACGGTCACATTTGGAGCAAAAGTTTCATCACACTTGGACGACATGCCTTTGCTGCTAATACAAACACACCAGCAGCCATCTCCAAACTTCTGAGAGATTTAAGTATTGAAAATAGACAAAGACATCCTGATCAACAGATCCTACAGAGGTTTGCAACTGAGGAGCTAGGATGGTAAGCCCCATGCCATTGAATGAAACTCCACTACTATCAGGTTTGTGTTGATATCTTTCATTGCTCAAAGAAATCAAGGCTGCACCAGTTTAAAGGGGTAAACGGGGGGTAACAGTTCTTTTATGTCTTTGTTTTAACATGTTGATCTTGTGTTTTTTATTCACAAACAGCATTATTATGGCTGGTTTGTCTGTCTTACTTCTTTGTAAAGTGGGTGGCAGGCTTCAATTTGGTGTCTGTCCACAAATTGAAGTCTATTTTATGAACGGATGTACGGACGGGTCACTTGGTAGGTGAATGAATGGATGGATGGATGGGCGGACGGACGGGTCAGTTGGTGAGTGGGTGGATGGATGGATGGATGGATGGATGGATGGATGGATGGATGGATGGATGGATGGATGGATGGATGGATGGATGGATGGATTCAACACCTGTAGACCTGGTTCTACATCAGTCCGAACTTTATATTACAGACTGTACATACAACACCTGTTGACCTGGTTCTTTGTTATATTATTATTCCATCTTTTATTAGTTCATATCACTGTTACTTACAGTTGTAGTTATATGAGATAGAAACTTGGAGATGGCAGAATATCAGTGAGTCTAATTTCAGGCATTTCAGTCTTTTCAAATGTGAATGATAAATGGCCTGAACTTACTGTATATAGTGCTTTATCAAGTCCCTACAGACTCCAAAGCACTTCATACAACAGACATTCAATCATTCATACACATATTCACACACTGATGATGGTCAAGAACATTGGTAGCCACAGCTGCCCTATGGTAGACCGACACAAGCAAATTTTTGTTCATCATGAGAAGCTTCATCAACTATTAAAACTCAGTAACACCTCCTGGAGTTACCCAACTCCTTCACAAGAAGCTTAAAATCTGATTTAACTAAGTGATGGTAGGGTCAACATAATTGACAACTTTGATTATAAAAAAAAATAGTTATTTTAATGTTAATGCATCATATTTATCCATGTACGTAAATGTTCATTTGTAACTGCAATGTAACACATGAACTGCTCTGGGGATTTTATCGTTCTGTTGGGGATTTCAATTCCCATGTGAGCAATGAGAAATTTATCCAGAAGGGGGTGATTTGGAAGAGCACTCTCCCTGATCTGAACCCAAATGGTGTTCTGTTGTTGAACTTCTGTGCTTAGTACGTGTTGTCCATAATGAACATCATGTTTGAGCGTATGGTGTACCATAAGTGTATTTGGTACCAAGCCACCTCAGGCCAAAGGTCAATGATGGATTTTTGTAATTGTGTTGTGTGACCTGCGGCCCTTATGTCTTGGACATGGGTTAAGAGATGGGCAGAGCTGTCAACTGATCACCACCTGGTGGTGAGTTGGATCTGATGGCAAGGGAGGCTGCCGGACAGACCTGCTAAACTCAAATGTATATTGAGGGTGAACTGGGAACTTTTAGTGGAGTCTGTATAATTTTCAATTCAAACCTCTGGGAGAGTTTTTCACATGTTCCAATAGGACAAGGACATCAAATTCAAATGGACCATGTTCAGGGCCTCCAATGCAGATGCAGTTTTCAAAGTGAAGGAGGCCTTCAGGACTTGGCTGTCCTGCAGAACTCTTGAAGCAGCTGACAGGTACAGGGTGACCAGAAGGATTGTGATTTCTGTGGTTGCGGATGCTCATACGTGGACATGGAAGAAATTTGGGGAGACTATGGACAAGGACTTTCTGTTGGCCCAGACTGGAGATATTGTTGAGTGGTGGAAGGAACAATTCAAAGATCTCCTCAATCCAGCCTCCATGTCAACCTTTGAGGAGGCAGAGTCTGAAGACTCTGGGGAAGACCAGTCCATTACCATGGCAGAGATTAATGAAGTAGTCAAAAAGTTCCTTGGTGGCAGGGCACCAGGGGTGGAGGAAATTCGCCCAGAGACGCTGAAGTCTCTGGATGTTGTCGGGCTGTCATGATTAACACGTCTCTTCAATATCACATGTAGAACTGGGACACCTCCTGTAGAATGGAAGATTGGGGTGGTGGTTCCCATTTTTAGAAAGGGGACCGGAGAGTGTGTTTTATCGTGGGATCACACTTATTGACCTGTTCAGAAAGGTTTACTCCAGGGTGTTGGAAGGGAGGCTCCTATCAATAGTCAAATTTTGGATATAAGGGCAGCAATGTGGTGTCTGTCCTGGTCGTGAACAGTGAACAGAGTTTTACCCTTGCAGAGGATCTCAAAGAGCAGCTGTGGAGAGGAGGGTGTTTAGTTTTGGAACCAAAGGGTCTCATATCTGCTTTATGACAATGATGTGGTTCTGTAGGCATCTTTGGGCCAAGACCTTCAGCTTGTACTGGGCAGTTTGAAGCCGAGTGTGAAAAGGGTGGAATGTCCTCTCTGGGTTGTGGTGGGCGTGCCTCTACCTCAAGTGGATGAGTTTAAGTATGTGGGTGCCTTGTTCTTGAGTGATGGTAGAATGAAGCAGGAGATAAATCAAGTAATTGGGACCTCTTACTCAGTAATGAGGGCTATTCGGTGGGTCTTGGTAAAATAAGAGTTCAATTGAAAAGTAAATTAGAACAGTAAAAATCGTAATTATTTTCTTGTATTCAGTGATTTTTTTTTTGTCTTTAATGTGCATTGATCATGTGTGTTACAGAGTGAATGATAGACTAACATGAAAACCCAGTTAAATAAAAACAAAAATGTGGATTGTCCTGTTTCTAATGGGCTAGCTGGAGAACTAAAAGTAGTGCTGACAGTGTCATGATGGTAACAGTGGCATAAACAAGGATTAGTTTATACTTGGTTTAGTTTCAGTTAGTCAGTAACAACTTTTGAATTGTAGTACACACAAACTGGTGTTCATACATCTGTTCAGCAACAACATTTAAAAAAAAATAATAATAATAAAAAATAAACCAAATCCCTAAAACGTGGCTTTATTAGATCCAAACAAGAGGAACTAAACTCAGGAGCAGAAGTAATACCTGGTAGAGGCAGTTGACTATTGCCTGGTAGAGACAGTAGACTAATGCCTGGTAAAGAAAGTAGAATAATACCTGATAGAGACAGTGGCAGACACTGCGAAGCTGTGGTGGAAACTCGCTGGATGAACCAATAATGGCGTGGAAGAAGCGCTCAGTGATCTGCAGCAAGTTCCTCTGGTTCTCCTCCAGGTTTTCACCTTGTTCCAGCCTAATGAGACAAAATACACCTCCTTCAGTTAGGTTCAAACTGCAGCAGATGAGGTCACAAACTACCCAGCCCTCAAACCATCCATGCAATATGAAGTGAAAATAATGCAACCATCATTGAGTTATCCTTCATGAAAACATCTCAGTCCTGGAGTGACTGGTTCATCACATGTTTTATCTTTCCTTTTTTTACCGTGTGCTGTCCGGCAATGTGAAACTCGGAATTGATGTCTTGAGTGTCTAAATGAAGCCCAACACTTTTCACAAGTGCAATTCCATTTCGGTACCTAAAGGCATCATTGCGACCGTATTGGCATAAGAGTGGTGAGTTTTTCATGTTTGTCCTGAACGCAGCATCGCGCAAGAGCGTAATGACGTCAGCAGCTGCTGCTTCAGTTCAGTCTGAAGCTTGAAAACAAGCTTCGCAGCTCCTGGAGTAAAACTTGCCAAACAGACCACCTCTGAATTATCTGGTGGATTAATTATCTTGTGAACATGACGTTCACTTGCTCAAAGTAAATAAAGTACCGCCACTTTCTTTATTTCATCCACCATTAAACAGAGAGTGGTGTTAGGTCGAGCCGCGTTCCCCCATCAGACGGTTCCCCCATCAGACGGTTCCCCCATCAGACGGTTCCCCCAGCGTCTGAAACAACAGAGGAGCTTCCCGACACACGTCTGACCTAAAGAGCACAAGCAGCCAACAAGTGTTGGACGTGTTCTGGATGTTCAAAACGTAGCTTAAATACCTTTGATTTATTTTAACTGCATCCTCTTTTGTTTATTTGATTTAAACTTATTTGCCTTCCATGGATCGCCCCACATAATTTTCCACATAATTTTCCTAGTGGGGAAATGACATCAATAGAAACACGTGGAGCTGGATTTTAATTTGTGTAATAAGACAAAACAGTCTTGTTGTTTTCAACAGTTTTCACCTTAAAGAAATAAGTTACACAACTGATGTTACAATACAAAGAGTTGGATGTTGTCTTGATATTTGTAAATTTTACATATTGAGAAATATGTTAAATAAAAAATAATAAAAAAATGTTTATTATAGTTTTTCCAGAGTGACTTGAATTTTGCATGATTTAGTTCATTTGTTAGATTGTTAACATCTTGYACTATATTTCTTTTASTTGAATTTTATATGCTTTGGTTGAGATTTTATGTTGATGTTAAATCTTTTAAGCTTTTTTTTGTTAAAGAATTGACTCTAGAGTGCATATTTTGTGTCCATGAAAAAACTATTAAAGAAAATATTACAATATTCAAGAACTGTTATTGTTAATTAGATGAAAATATTTTAAATTTCCAGTGCACTCACATCAGAATAACTTATAGATTTGTTGTTAGAATAATCGATTAATCAAAAAAAATCGTTAGATTAATCAAGTAGAAAATAATCGTTTGGTACAGCAGTACCAGTCTAGTGCCTAGTGCCTGCCACTAGTCTCGTGCCACTTTATGTTCAATAAATTGGGCCCCGAGGTCAAAAAGGTTAAGTACCCCTGGTTTATACTACGCAGAGTGTAAAATCAACAAAAGTTTATTTTATAATGTGAATGGGTTAGCAAATCCTATTAGGAGGTAGAATTTAGCTCTAAAGTATCGACTGTTATCCCTCTGCCTGCCCTAGAGTCATCTGATTTATGCTTTATTTTTTTATGTGTACCATCCAAAATAAGGTGATTCTAGCAACAAAGATCACTTTACCCAACCTTCAGCTTTGACCCCATAAATGTTTTCAGACCACCGTTGGGCCAAGAACAATTATTATGTCAATTATGACTGAAATCAATAGCTGCACACAGGACAGTCTGATGGATGGAATTTCGTATCCAGTAACAGAGACTGACAACCAAAGAACAGTATGCCTCTGGGGAGGAGGCATAATTAAAAAATATATTTTTATTATCATCATTTTTTTTTAATAAAACACATTTATCACAACAAGAACATAAAACACTTAAAAACTTAAAATGGAAATTTCTCATTCTCTCATTCCCAAGGATCTAAAAGAAGTGGAGCAATTCTAATCTAAAGCAGACTTAACTTGGAGTGCATGAAGAGAAAAGATGAGGAGGGGAGGTTTGTGTTACTCAAAGGCTATTTGGAGGGTGTTTTAATCACTTTTATTAACGTATATGCCCCCCAGGATCGGAGATGAAATTTTATAAACATTTTTTAATTGCTTGCTAGAAGCACAGCATTGTGATTATGGGAGATTTATACATTCAGCTCAATTCATCCATAGATACATAAAATCCAAACATCTTAGGGATAAACAAAATAACAAAAAATGTTAACATAATTAAGAAGGTGATAGGGCTCCTAGATGTTTGGAGAGAGTTAAACCCTATTAAATAGACTATATTGTTTTCTCCCACCCACATTCATTTTACTCTAGACGGAACTATTTTTGTGAAAGTAGAATTAAGGATACATACAAGTACTTTACATCCTCAGAGAGTGAAACAGAGAGACATTTCAGTCACAATGTCAAATTCTGGAAGGTGCTCATAAAATTATTATGGATAAAAACCTGGAGATAGAAATACAAAAAGAAGAAAAAAAATTTTTTTTAATTATCAAGTGAAATAAAAAAGGATATTTTTACTACAGCAGTATTTAGGGCTGCACAATACATCAAAAATTTATCATCATTGTGATAACAGCCGGTGCAATATGCATATTGCAAAAAAAACCTGCATAAATTGCAATAAATGGTTGGCTCAAAAGTTTGCATTTCTACATTTTGTCACTCAGACAGAAGCTTGAAGTATTTCACCAATCAAATGGAGCCCTTCATGTATTTGGACAATTGAAAAAAATTGCCTTATATTTTAATAAATTCATGCTGGAATGGAAATTATTAGTATTTTTGTTGCTGTTTTTTGCTCTGAACCCAGAACAGAAAAACATCAATACAACATTCTTAATTTTTCATTTATCGCAAGCCATTTCGTCATCACAATATTAAGCACAGTTATCGCACATCGCAGGTTTTCCTAATATCGTACAGCCCTAGCGGTATTTGGAAGCAGGAGGCAGATCTGCCAACTCACTGACCTACAAGCTAAAAAATAACAAATAAAAAAATACAATGTCCTGATGCATCTCAGTAATCCAGGTAAAAAATCAAAAAGAAAAAAAATTGTATAGGTCTTCTGGACGGGTTCTTCTCTAATGAAACATTTCATCTCTTCTCCAAGAGACTTCTTCAGTCTGAGAGTTTCAGGCAAAATTCAGGCTTTTGTAATGTGACTGATACTCACATCACATGGCTATCGTTGACACCTAATTAACATTAGGTTGGGTTAGTTATTCTGAACCAGAAGGACTATGAAGATAAGATCATGACACTCCTTAGCAACACGACCACATACGAGCCGCTGAAGAGAGATCCAGGAAGTGGTTACAAGAAGAAACTAATAGATTGCCTGAAAAGTTTAGAACAGGACAAGGCTATTAATTGGATTCTGTATCACAGACTTTACCCAGGTGAGGCCACTCCTAGTCTGTATGGTTTACCCAAAATTCACAAACAGGATGTACCGGTAAGACCCATTGTCAGCATGATCAAGTCTGTCACTTGTTTTTAAATATCTGACGTCTATACTTGGT